GTAAGCATATCGTAGCAATAATCTATAACTTTTTAATGTCTTATTTAATCTCTTAAGAATAATTAGAAATAAGAATTTCTCGTTTCTATTGTTTTTCTTTTTCTTTTTTTTTTTAAAGAAAATTTTCTAATCGAAAATTTCTTATTATTATCCTATTTAATATGTTGAAAATCTTTTATTTATTTTATTTCATAATTTCTTTTTCTTTTTTTCTTTTTTTTTTTTTTATAGATATCTTTACTTGTTTATTTTTAATTATTATCTATTTCCAATTAATATTTTATTTAATATCTTGTAATAATTAGAAGATAGAAATTTCTTGTTTCGATTTTTTTTTTATTCTTTTTTTTTCTTTCCTTTTTTCTCTTTTAAGGAAAATTATCTAATCGAAAATTTCTAATTATTACCTCATTTAATTTGTTGAAAATCTTTCATTTATTTTACTTTATATTTATTAAATATCTTCATTTATTTATTTCTAATTTAATATCTTATTATAATTAAAAATTAGAATTTCATCTTTCTATTTCTTTGTATGTCTTTTTTTTTTAGTAAAAATTTTCTAATCGAAAATTTCTAAATGAACAATGAACATTTACGAAATATTACATTAAATTAGTACAAACGGCGTTTAAAGAATGATTGTTAAAAAAGAATATAAACTAACGATCATTTTTCTTTTATTCATTCTACAACCAAAAATTTATAGAAATTATAATGAGATCGTTTGGAAAATCTTTTGGACAAAATAAAAAATTGGACACGAAGTAATCGAAATAAAATTGATTTAATATAGAAAGAAGAAGAAGAAGAAAAAGAAAAAACAAAGAAAAAAAGCAAAATCAATATCAAGAATCAAATCAAAAATTAAGTTTGAAATTCTTCCAATGAATTCCGTTGACAACGTTGATCCTTCATTTAGATAACAAATTGAATTGCACGAAGGATATTTGGACAAAAGAAAAACAGAAAATCCATTAGAATTACTTGAAGATTCGCGTATTCAAATGATCAAATGACAAAATTTTTAATCGACGACGATCAATAAATGTTTAATGTATAAAGCCATTTTAAAAATACATCTTGACGTACGAAGTAAAAAATTTGTGGCCATGACCAAAGAAGAATGAAATATTAACAAAAAAGAAAGAAAAAGAAAAAAAGAAACTTCCATATATCATTCTACATTCTAAATGCGTCGTTGTTAGAAATAAGATGAACTTTAAAGACTGAAAGTTATAAAAAAAAAAAAAAAAAAAAAAAAAAATCACTGTAGATTCATTCTATTTTAATTTCACGATCATCATTTTCTTTTCTTTTTTTTTTCTTTTTCATTGACAAAGTATTTAGAACAGTCAATTTCTTTTATGTAATTGTAAATAAATTTGATGACATTATATTATGGCGCGTGAAGTAACATATGATTAAATTACATCATTGTACTTATATCTGAAACTTGTATGTGATGGCCATTATGCCGCTATATTATTTAATATTAGATTTAATTAAAGTTTTTTTATATACTTTATATGTTAATATTTGTGCGTGTCGATTCTAAAGCTGATGAATTTTAATATCATGATAATAATCGATATAATTTGATATTTATCGTTTAAGAATAAATATTGTTTATGGATTAATAATCGCATGAACTTTTTTGCAAGAAAAAAAAAAAAAAACAAAAAAAAACAAAAAAAAAAACAAAAAAAAAGAAAATTTGCCCAGAAAATTAAAAAGAAAAAAAAACAACCATTAAATTTACTCAAACTCCAATTTATAACTTTCTATACACAATACTCACATGTAACAGTTACATGTAACAGCTATGTATATATATATATATATAGCACTACACTCCTTTCCCCAGTGATTGTATCGAAATCCCAAGGATACTGTAGCAATCAATTCGAAAAAGTGTAATTAATTGTATGTAACAATTAAAAACGCGAAGTAGAGGAAACGAAAAAAAGAAAAAAAAATAAGAGAGAAAAGAAAAGAAAAAAAGAAAATCAAAGAGATACAAAAAAGAAAACAATTATCATGGTATAGAAAATTAACGATCGATATGAGAGACTTTATTACGTGAAAAGGAATGATAACGATTGCGTGTATGAGCATGTTTTGTCACGCACATATGTGGACTGGATCAAAAGGACTTAATTAAATCATGTGGGAATGAATAATTTTCCAGGAAGGATTTAATGCAATTGCAATCCAGACGTTATAAACAGATGGATATTATATGTAAACGAAACTCGTTAATCAAATTTGTATCATTCTTTAAAAGGATCGATGATCTTGAACCGATAAAAATTTGATTAATTGTATTACATTTAATTAATTACTTTTTTTTTTTTCCTTTTCTTTTCTTTTTCTCTTTGTTTTCTCGTCGTATATATTTTTCTAATGAGTAATTATAAATTATGAAAAAGAAAAGAAAACGAGAAGGAAAAAAAAAAGAAAAAAAAAAGAAAAAGGTATGAGAAAAAGAAATTCGATA